GGGGGGGGGGGGGGGGGAGGGAAGAAGGGGGCAGAGAAATAGGAATTGGGTTGTCATAGTTTCTTTAACGCTCTACTCCTGGGGGAATTTTTGTGTGTGTCTGTATTGTTACAGACATACTTGTTGACAGGTATTTTGAAATAAATTTCCAAAATAATTGAAACTGGCTTGATTATGTAGTGTTATTTTGACAAATAAAATTTGCAGAATTTTTAATGTTTTGGTGCAGAATGCCCCCAGGAGTAATTAAATTTAGACCCCATCATTTTGTATGTATAGCTGGGATTATTTTTTCCAGTGTGCATTATTTTGCACTTATCAACACTGAATTTCATCTGCCATTATGTCGCTCAGTCACCCAGTTGTGTGAGATCCCTTTGTAATTCTTCGCAGTCAGCTTTGGACTTAACTATCTTGAGTAATTTTATATTGTCTGCAAATTTTGCCACCTCTCTGTTTACCCCTTTTCCAGATCATTTATGAATATGTTGAATAGTCCCAGTACAGCTCCCTGGGGCACCCTGCTGTTTACCTCTCTCCATTGTGAAAACTAACCATTTGTTCCTACCCTTTGTTTTCTATCTTTTAGCCAGTTACTGATCCATGAGAGGATCTTTCCTCTTATTCCATGACTGCTTACTTTGCTTAAGAGCCTTTGGTGAGGGACCTTGTCATTTAGTTCATATTCATTTAGTTAAACTGGGTTTTTAAGAGAACATTTGGAAAGGGTTTTTTTTTTTAATGTAGCTCTGCATTTCCAAATTCATTGCAAGTAATGAATCAAAAATGATAGGACTTCACTGCCAGATTCATCATAACCTTGTAGTTTGTTTGGTCACTTACACCACAGGAAGGTCTGCGTGTAAACACTCTCAAAGCAGAGTGCTAGCATTTTACACCCAGTTTGCTCTAGTGTAAGTGACCACACAAAATACAGAGCAAAGGTCTGTGGAGTGTGTTAAATGCATTCTACAAGAGGCTATGCTGAGGTTGGAGTTTCACTTCTGCCTTTTCTCTCTGCCCTGAATGGCTCTGTATTACGCATATAATCTCTCTTCAAAAGGAGAATCTTTTACCAACTTTCTTGTACTAAACAAGAATGGGCCTAGAATATTATAAAACCACAGACAGATATAGATTAAAAGTACCAGTTGGGAAAGTGCCATAATAGAAGGAGCCAGGGTTATTCTTTGTCCATTGGAAATCCTCAGCTGTATTCAGACACCGCACCAACCCAAGCACATACCACACTTTCAAAACATACGTCTTCATCACTATTAGTGTCCGCACTGCAAAATGTCCACTTCAGAACCCCACCTGATAAAACAGAAGCATCATTGGTGAATGTTGAATCTCATTCACACAGAAGCATATTGTCATTGCTGACAGGGAACCCTGATTCAGAATCTGCAGGCTCAGGGGGCTTTTAAGGATGATACAGGGCAGGTGGAAGATTGATCTAACCTTCTGTCAGGATTCTGAGGGTGAGAAAAGGGCTGAGTGCAAAATCCCTCCCATCAGAGTTACTCCCTGGGGGAAAAAAGTCTCTTTGTTGAAAACGTTTGGTTTGGATTTCAAATTTCCCCTGCCATGTCTGTCACTCACATCCTGCACATTGTGTTAGTGCATGATAGCCAGAAGGTGAAACTCATTAGACTTACATTGTCCACACTGGATAAAGTATGTAACAAGCTTCATATGCTTTTTAGATTTTTAATTGTTGCAGTTGTAGAAATCTCAGCTCTTACCTTGACAGCGTTCCTTTAAAAGAGTAGTATTTATATCCTGAAGTTAGTTCTAACTGGTGTGATTCTTGGCTGCAGAATCAGGCTTTCCTATAGCGGGTGCTCAGTTATGCCCATTACAATTAAGCTTGCAAAACAGTTTGTTACAACTTCATCTTCTCACAAACTTAACTTTTTCTAAAAGGTCACCTCTTACATGTCTGATTCTCACCTGATGGTGAATTTTTTGGGAGACTTTGAGGAAAATCCCTTGAGGAGTTTGAGTTTGAGGAGCATAAATATACATTCAATTTAAAAAAATTGAATCATGCTTTTTTAGCTATAGTTTAAAAAAAAATTGGAATCTTTGAAAGGTGAAACCTGGCATGAAGATAGCCCTCAGAGTAGTAGTGTTTCTGTTTTCTTAAAATATTATGGTGCACATTTAAAGTGTCACTTCACACTCATGGGCAGCTAGGTAGGTGCATACTTTTCAGAACCTGACATAAACATTCACAACCTTAAAAACTATTGAAACAATTTTTTCCAAATATGTTCTGCAGAACTCAGTGAGACCTAAATATCAAGCACATTTAAATAAAACAGGGTAATTTTAAAGTTATGAATGTTTAACATCTGTAAGCCCTGGGAACCCACTCAGCTCAAAGAGATAAATATGGCACAGGGATAGACATGGAGGTTTAGCCAAGTAACTGGAACTGCCACTGGATCAAAGATATGATGCTGTGCCCCCATCCCTTGCTGGCCTTCTGCGCATGCCTACGAGGAGTCAGCTTGGAGACTTCTTCTGCAGCATGTGGGGATTGCAAGAGGTCTTCTGCAGGGCCCCTTTGTGGATTCCTTTTACATAGCCTCCTGTGCAGGGTCCTCTCTCCAAGAGGAAATGGCATTTGAAATGCTCTTTTGTCCTTTCATATTTGAGAGATTTCCGTACTGGGAGCAACTGGGTACATTGATCACTCAGCTAAGCAATAAGAATTTGCTTTTGACTAACTTTCTACAATGGTTCAGCAGTATCTCCTCCTGCCTGCAAATCTAGGACCTGATCCAAAGCTCAATAGAAGTCTTTCCATTGACTCCACTGGACTTTGGTTCAAGCTTCCAGTGACCCAGTGTACTGGACCACAAACTCCTATTTAGCACTTATAGCTATTTACAGATAGGCTCTTGATAAAAGGAGTGAGTCAGGCTAGAATAAAAAGGTAAAGAAAACTTTCTTCAGTGCACATAATAAAGTACAACTTCAGAGAACATTTTTCCTACTTAACAGAGGAACTGCACAACTGGTTTGGGAAAATGTATCTTGATACTACATTAAAAGATTGTAAACAATGCCTAAAAGAATCTTCAGCCCTGCATTTCTAATGTGAAAATTAAACATTGTAAAGAAAGCCCTGAACAGCACTGGCTTTGACCATTAGGAAATACTTCTGTTATGGAGCAGCTTGTGGAGCAAAGCAGGAGACTCACATTTGGGGGTTAATCTTGCTCCAGGGATGGAGAAGGCCAAACACATCGTGAAGTTAATATAGTCTAGTGATGAGGTGGCTGCAAGGGGCACAGGTCCACCAGCCAGTCCACAACAAGGCTTTTAAGGCCACCTCTGAGAAGGTCACTTACTCCATCCTGTCAGTCAGAGGGTATATTGGCATCAGGTATATGTGTGTATTTATGGGATTCACCCAGCTCTCTATAAATATATACATACATTCAATAGCGGTTATAACATACCCGTTTGTGAATGTGCATGTATTAATTCTATACAGTGACAGTAAAATATTGCTCTTGAGCCCAATGTTTCTTGCATTACCCCCTTGGATTTTTGGCAGAGCTGACTGAGTATTGTGAGGAAGCAGCAGGGAGAATAGTGGAGCATGTGTGATGTCAGGAAGGTTGTTGCATTGGTGTTGGGGTAATTAGTTTGTGCTGTTTTAGGGAAGCTGGCCTTTTTGGTGTCCGGCTAGATGTTACAATGGTTTGGATTGTATATAATGGCATCATATATTTGTAATTGGCTGATTCTTATTTTGGGCTAATCATTCACCTGGAGCTAGGGACAGGCACGAAATCAAAATCAATACCTTTTTCTTTTCATGAGGTGACCACATCAAAGACAGCTACAGTGGTTCAAAAATAGTTTTTAAGGTTGTGAATGTTTGTCAAATTCTGAAAAGTATGCACCTACCTAGCTGCCATGAGTGTGCAGTGACACTTTACATGTTATAAAATAAACACACTACTCAATATAATATACGAGAAACACATTTTTAGACAAACATTTGTGATTTCACAACATCCTTCCTGGACTGAATCAATGATCTTTTATAAAGAATTAAGTGCCTGTTAGAGCTACCTTTTGTTCTATTTTTTTAATATAAGCTTTTCCAACCACAGCAATGGAAGCAGCTAGTTTATCAATGCCAAAGTAGTAAGTCCATTTAGTTTAGACAATAGGACTATTTTACTTCCTAAAACACTCATCCATTTCCTGTACTGTAGGCTTGTAAAAATGATCTCCTAGCTTGTGTAGCATGCACAAGCTGTGACACCCTACCTAGGTAAACTCATGCACTGCATTACTTTTCTGCTGTTTTTGACTTACCTGTCCCTCTTCCTTTTCCATATGTTCTGACTGGGAGAGTCCTCCAAACTGCCAGAAATTTACCAGAGCATTTAGAATAAATTTACCTTCACAGAATAATCACACAGAATTCATCCAATTGCCACAAAACACTAGGAGAAACATCTAGTTGAAAACAGTGTTCTGTTGATTTAAAGCCACAACAAAACAGAACAATCCTTCTCTATTCAAAATCAATGATGCAGAAAAAGATTTAGCTTAACCAGACAAATCTTTTTGCAAAGGAGATTTTACTTTGTAAGCAAAGTTAATTTTATTAGAATGATCACCACCTAACTGTACATGCCCCTGAGTTGGGGAGGTCTATGCAAGCATCTTTATACTGAACTATATTTGGTATCTGACTATAGGATTGTCATGTGGCCATGCTTTTCCTTTCATACTGAGTCATTTTGTTCAAGAATTTCAGAGGGCAGTCTTAAGAGCGTATATACTTTACTTTTTTCCCTTGCTACTGGTTAGACCTGGGTTCTATTCCAGGCTCTGTTACTGACCTGCTGGGTAATGTTAAGCAAGTTACTTCACCTTTCTGTGACTCAGTTTTCCTATCTGTAAAATGGGGTTAATGGTACTGATCTCTTTTGTAAAACATTTTGAGATCTGCTGATGAAAGTGCTATATAAGAGCTAGGAATTATTATTGTTATTATGTCATTAGAAGTCTTCCTATCTTATTTAATAATATGCTCAGAAGAGGATGCCTTCTGCTGTCATTGGAACCCCCTGAAACTAAAGGGAATTGGGTGTAGAATTAGGTTGCTATGAAGATCTCCGTGTCAACTCTCAAGGTCCAAATACTGGCTTCTCCATCCATATGTACAGTAGAAGAGTGGATCCTGCTTACAACTGCTGAGCCCTTCTCCCGACTCCACCAAATCCTTCAAAGTAAAAGGCCCTCCCACAAAAAACAAGTTTGCTTCTGCAATGTCAGGTCGGTAGCTCAGATATTTCTGATATCGTGGGCCTGCTTTTTGAGAAGAAGTAATTCAATCATCTGAGACCCTGCCTCCAGAACAAAATAGCAGGAATAATAGATAGTATTTTCCAAATAACATGATAGTTAACCTTTTCTTTATTGTGGAAAACAGCTAGCTCCTTCCCAGAATAATTGCATCTCTTCTTTTCCATTTGATTAGGTGCTCTTGTAATTATACCTGGGGGAATCTAGCATACATTAATAAACCAAGGCTTTATGCCTCATATTCAGCACCTTTGTCATATCATAAAATAGAAATTCAGGTTAGGGCCTTTTCCTGTGACTGTATCCCTTAGATATGTGAGTTAACCATGTTGGTGCTTTAGCAATTAATATTAAAACAGATTCTGCAGAAGGGTATTTTCCAGTTATGCATTTTCAGTATCTTTGGCTCTGTTTACAAAGTTCTGTAGAAACTGCCATACTTTTATTGATGAGAATGTGAAAGAAGACACCTTGATGGAAACTGTACATAGAAGCGATATTGATAAGTCACAAGCTAAATAAAGGATATAACCATCAGGAGTATAATCCCTCTACCTTTAAAGTACAGAAAGACAATCTATGGTAATTATAGTTCTATCAGCACACGATCAATTCACTCCTTCATAAGAACGGCCATACTGGGTCAGACGAAAGGTCCATCTAGCCAAGTATCCTGTCTTCCGACAGTGGCCAATGCCAGGTGCCCCAGAGGGAATGAACAGAACAGATAATCATCAAGTGATCCATCCCCTGTCGCCCATTCCCAGCTTCTGGCAAACAGAGACTAGGGACACCATCCCTGTCCATCCTGGCTAATTGCCATTGATGGACCTATCCTCCATGAACTTATCTAGTTCTTTTTTGAACCATACAATCATACAAATCTAGAGAGTCAGACAATTAAGGATTTTATGAATCCCACTACC